ATGAGGAATACCTCGTGTACAGTGGAGTGTCAAAGGGAATCTGTAATATCTGCATGTAAATTGTACAGAAAGGACTGTTAAAGTTGGGGACAGGCAGGGCTATCTATCAAAAATCAGATTCCAATAATATATTTTCAGCATGGAAGCTATCAACAGAAATCTATAATTAATTATGATTTTAGAACTACACTGTCGGTTGTAACGTGTAAATCTCATCAACCATGTGATACTCTAGAAAGAAAGTGTCTGTGAGAAGCAGTAATGATGGGTGACTTCATCTCGTCTGTATGCAGATGGTGTCCTTGTTACTGAATTTCCCAAATGAACAGTTTTAATACGGTGGAAGCTGTTGTGCAGACAGGAGTTGTGCATGAGGGCTGTTGCCTGTTCATCACTTTGGTCCCCATTTGTAGTATCTTACCTTCTCTGTTTGCCGTTTGATAAATAGAATTTAAGACATCATTAATTAAACAGGCACTCCTTTTTTTTTATTTTATTGTTTGTGGCCAATTTCAGATCTAATTGCAAAGGAGGTGATACTTTTTTACAGAGTTGCAGGTGGTCCTTGTCTTGAGGAGTTACCAGGGTGAAGAAGTAGTCCTACAAAGGTCAGAGTGGATGGAAATACAGTATATGCAGTAATGGGTTATGCCACAACTCTCCATATTGAATTCAGGATGATTTGGAAGTATAAACTATATGGAATGATAAATTCCCAGCTTTGTACACTGATTACTTGCTAGCAGGTCTTGCTAATGTCAGGCTGCAATTAACTGAATGACTGCCTGTGTAAAATGAAGTTTCTATTTAATGAAAACCTACATATTTTTATTATATTTTCTTAGAGAACATCATCTCCATGGTAGTTTGACCTACTTATTCTTGACATTAAAGTTATATTTCTTTTACTCCATTATCAGCAAGCAAATATATCTAATCAACAATTCATGTTGCAGTTTATTCAATAAACAAAGTGCATTTTGAGAAAGACTGTCTTCTTTTAAGAATTGCATCTGATCCAATAAACCAAATTATGTAATAATAAAGTATGTCATCAATGTAAACAAATACCAGATGGGTTGTAAAATATTTAATTTTAGATCAGTGCAAATAGACTGAGATAAACACTGCTGTGGCATATTGTCAGTCACTAGTAAAGCTTAAAAAGGATTCTCCCTGGGTGTCCATATCCTGGAGGGTTCCACCTTCATGCTTGTTTTTCTCTTGTTTTAAGTCTTGCTCCATTTATCCCCATTTGCTCCACATTATTGCACTTTCAGACAGAGAGTGCTGGCCTGGCTGCGTTTCAAAGCATGACAACGCAAGCCAGCAAGGTTTTGCTGATGGAAACCAGAAGGTGTTCCTGGGGAAGGTCTGCCGAGGCACGGGCACCACAGAGGCAGGGCAGCTGCTTTCTGTATTGTGGGGAGTGGGCTTGTCTTTCATGTTATTTTCCCACCCTGGGGGGGTGGTGGATGCTGTTACCTGTACCAGACCCAGCTTCCTCCAGGATGGATGTAAATAGTGACAGCTGGTGCTTATTACTCTTAAGATGTGAATACATTCACTATGAGGCTCTTTCACTTGTGGTCAGTTCAAGATCAAGTTCAAAGTGTCTTTGTGCTATTGAATTGCAAGGCTAGGGTTCTTTTTTCCGCACAGTTTAAATCTTTTGTTCTGTATTTAAGTTTAAGATACTTGCTAGCACTTGAATAACAAAGTTTTTTAGTTGTGTGGTCACTGACATTTTATCTTATCTTTAAGGACACGGTTTAGTGGTGGACTTGGCAGTGCTAGGTTTGCGGTTGGTCTTGGTCATATTAAAGGTCTTTTCCAACCTAAATGATTCTATGATTCTATGACCTGCTTATGTGCCTGTATTCTAAATTAAGTGGAATTTATAATAATGAATAAATTTAAATTATAGAAACATAGAATGGTTAGAGTTGGAAGGGACCCTGAAGATCATCTAGTTCCAACCCCCCTGCCATGGGCAGGGACACCTTCCACTAGACCAGGTTGCTTAAAGCCCCATCCAGCCTGGCCTTGAACACCTCCAGGGATGGGGCAGCCACAACTTTTCTGGACAACCTGTTCCTGTGTCTTGCCACAGGAAGTGAATTATTGAGTAAAGAATTAGTATATATCTTTTAGCATTATATCAAAAGGGGTAGTTTTAAGTATTGTATTTGGAGGGCATCAGCATTTTAGTGTTTTTACTGGTTTGTCTGTATGTGCCACCTAAAGCTATAATTTCTTAATTCATGCAAATAGTTTTGGACCTTTGAAGTCCTACTTAATACTTGAGCCTATGTGGCAGAAAATATAGGGCCAGGTTTTATGAAAAAACTTGACTTTCAGACAGGCCTCTATACTCCAGATGGAGTCTTGACAAAATCTAAACAGGAAAGTCTATTATCCATGATAAATGTTTATGCTTCAAAACGTTTGTTTAAAATACTTCCTGTTACCTAACTGTATGTTTCTAAACTGTTCAATTCATGCAGATTTTCAGCAGATTATACACAAGTACAATGACTGAATTATAAGCAGTGATAACTTTTTATTATAAGCCAACTTTAAAATGCAGGTTGGATCATATAAACAGGAACACTTTGTCTCCTTCAAAGTGTAGAACTGGATTCTCTTGGTAGAGGGGAAATGCAGTCAGGATTGTTTAGCTAAGAAAAGTTTGTTGTTTTCATATGATTAGTAACCTTTTTTTTTTTTTTTGATAGACAGAAAGACTATCAGAAAGACTATTATGAATCTATCAGCCTGTTTGACATCACCAGGGATGCCAAATTTGAGTTATCTTGGGGGTCCTGTGAATCACAGAAAGTGCCAATTTTAGCTGCCTGTTACCGTAGAAGTTATCTGTTTAAATACTGAAATGGGTAGAGTAAATTTAAGCACTCTTTAAGTGCTTTATATATTGAAAAGTATAGTTCATTTACACAGAAGAAATTCTAACTGGAGACTTCTAGCTTTTTTTTTTTTTTTCTTCTACATTTATCAGAAAAGAGCTACTTTAGATCTGGAGACTATCTTCATTTTCTCTGTGAGATTTCTGAGAGCCTAACATAACTTCTTTGTCAATACTTAATCAATGTAGAGTTTTTTAAATTTTTATTTTTAATTTTTAAGCATGTTTACTAAAGCAGACAACAAAAGCTTTTCAGAAAGTATAAAGTCCGGTTGTCATCTTAAACTCAGTAAAATCAAACCTTATCTACGTACAGAAACAGTACACACATATACCAGTGGGACACAGGTATGCTTAGTGTCAATTGCATCACAAAAGTTTTCTTTCTCAACACAAGTGACTTCCAGTTCTGGGTATGAACTAGCATTGTGTTGCAGAAAACCAATACCTTATTTACAAAAGTGTATTTTCCTGATTTGTTCTTCTGGGAATGAATTTTAGTAAGAAAAACACCTGTCGTCTTGTCTGACAGCTGATGACAACACCAGAATCACTGAGTGGCTAAGATGAAAAGCTATCCTACGCATCAACACATCAGGCTTTTATTGCTGTCTTGGGTATACAAGAAACTTGTATTAAGTGGTGTTTAATAAGAACTCATTCTGTTTGTCAGTTCTGTGACATGATCTATATGAAGGAAGGAATAATGTCCCTGTGTCAGCTGAAGATTAGAAGATTGCAGCAGGTATTACCTGTCTTCGTAGCATGAAGCTTGTCTGTAGAGATGCAGACAAATCAAATGGCATGGTTTTTTTTCATCACACTGCCAGATGGGGATTAGGCAAGTTTATGTAAAAATTCATGCATTGTTAGTCAGAAGCTGATGGTTGAGAATTAGGAAGAAATTTTCTTATGAAGAAATACAGCTTCTTTCCTTAGATCAAGAGAATTACTGGGGTTTTATCGCTGTCGTCTTTAACTACTGGGACTTTACAACTGTGCAGTAATGAATGGGAAATTACTAAAAGCACCGTGAAGACATTCCTTCAGTGTGGAACTTCCTTTCCATGTATTCTAAAGTTATTGGGAGTTCATCACTTCGTTTCAGTAAAATACCATTATATTCTTTAATAGTCTCAAATGGCTCCTTCAGACATAGACCAATGATCCATTGGCTAGTAAAGCAGATGGAAATGGCATGCTTTTGTGTGATGTATGCCTTTTTAATATGTTTCATTAGGAAGATCCCAGCAAAACATGCTTCCTCATAGTGCCATTCAGTAAGAGTTTTTTTCCAGGACAAGTTAACAGTAAAATCCCCAACTCCAGGTACTGTATAGAGCTAAGTCTGAACCAGAATTTCTTCTATGGCATGTTGAAGTTGAAGAGTATGAAAAATCCCTTTATTTTTTTTCAGCCTTAAGGGTTTTAAGGCCTCCTAAAACAAATGTTAAACACTGAAATTTATAGTTATTTGAACCAGTAGAATTAGGTTTCAGCCACTAATCCAGATTTGTACTTTCTGCTTAGGTGTTCAGGTGAAGGGCAGGCTGAGCTTTAGAAAAAAAATAGGCGTCCTGATTTTACCACCAGAAAACAGTCACAGAAATACTAACCTCTCTGTGGTTTTTCTCATGCCTCCATGGAGAGACTTTGGCAGAAGCAGCAAAACCAGTTTCCTGCTACTCCTTATTTCATGTGTGAATCTTGAGCATATGCTCTGAGTGGGTTTGAAATCACTGAGATTAGATTTTTTATTTATGTTTATCATTATGCATTAATCCATAGCACTGAAAACAAGTAATGAAGAAAACAGTGCAGTAGGGAGATAGTGGGAAAAATACTTCAAAAGAATATTTTTTTAAATGCTGCATAATCGCCACGGTGACTAGGGTTTTTATTTGTATTTTAATGCGTTCTCTTTGTTTACCCATATTTGTCTCATCATGTCATGTTGCCAAATACTTGGCTAATGTTATTATTTTGCATTTACAGAAATTATGATGGGGTTTTGAGCATTATGTGATTTTCTATTTTTCTGTTTTTAATATAAAGATTTCTTGTTTTCCTCTAGAAAGGTTCTAAAGAAAATCTCTGTTGGAGACCTAAAGCCTAATGAAACAGTTGAAGCAAATCTGGAAGCACAACTACTCTCCACATTAAACCATCCAGCCATTGTTAAATTTTATGCAAGCTTTGTGGAGCGAGATAGTTTCTGCATTATCACTGAATACTGCGAGGTGAGACTTGTAAATTACTTTGAAGAAATTTGACAGAATGTGTGTGTTAAAATAGGGTCTTAAAAGAAACATAGCCCAGTTTCTCTAATGTTTTCATTTGAATTTTACTCTTATTTCTTACTTGTGGTATCACCTTCTACTTGTTAGGCATATTTCAAATAAGCAATATTACCTGCTCAATGAGACTCGTAGCTCACAGACAGACAAACCGGAGAAGCTCAAGCCTGATGATATGGATGATGAGTTTGGTAGCAGCATTGGCTTTATGAAGTGGAGAATAATGTGAGTCAAAGACCAAAGTTCAGAGGATACAAAAATTATTAAAGCAGGATTTACTACTGTATAGTTACCAGTTTCTTTTACCCCAGCATTTGGTTCAAAAACATATTGATGCAATCTGTTTTAAGGCTTTAAAATAAGAATTTATACATATTTAATCCAGCTTTTTAAAAGTTTATATAAAACAAGTGCCTACTTTGTCTTAAATATAGATGTGCTCTTTTAAAAAATATAATCTGTTATATTTTATATATATATATATGTTATATATATGCAGTGATCTTTTCATGAAACTGTGAAGCAGACTATTCAGTTGTGCTATGCTAGACATTTGAAATGCTTTGGAAGCTAATGACCCTGGACTACTGGGTTATCTGTCCACCAATCAGACTTGTATTTAACTAATCACATTTCTTCAAGCATTCAGCTTTGGTGTGAGTAATTAAAGAAGTACTATTCCTGCCAGTCATTCCTTCCTTAGAAGCTTTCTTTGATGACAGTTAAATGCCTATTTATTGCTGGGATATTTTAAAATTAAATCTGAAATGTTCAATTTTGTTACATAATCTGAATGTTTAACACCCACACAGAAGCTCTTTGAGTCATTCCCTGAATGCCTGACAGCTGAGGCTTGATGGAAATTTGGTTTTGCCAACTCTCTGTGGAAATCCAGAGCTCAGAACTGAAGGATTATTCTAACTGCCCAGATATTCCTATGCACTGATTCATTTTCTCTCTACCAGTAGTAGAAAGTGGCCCAACACCAGATCAATTAAACCTATAGGAATAAAGGATCCGCTTTCAGGAGCATTATAGAGCTGGACTGTGGCTTTTTTGCACTGATTTTTAGCCCAAATAAAGTTGCATGATAAAGTTCCAGATAAAGTCTGGAATAATTGCATGATAGCAATCACCATAGTAATCACAAGCTGCTGCAGCAGGACCCCTTGGAATTTTTTTTTATTTAAGCAATGTAAACTACCCTGCATGAAAAGTTTTGGTGTGGAGTTACCCTGGGATTTGGGGGTCATATACTCAAACACATGAGAATGTATTAGAGCAAGGCAAATGATGGAGGAGGAAATGGATGCATTGGCTATACAGCTGAATCTTTTCTGTTTTGAATCTGCTAGGTCAGGCCAGAATGACAGTGTGCCCACTAGGATGTGCTTATGACTTTTTCCAAAAGGACACACTATGTAGTATCATTGCATTTAAGCAATTATGAGGTATTTAATTGAGTGTTCTGGCGAGGAAAGTACAAAGCAAGGTTTCACATAGTGCTATAGAGTTTCTTTTCTATTTTAGTTGGAGTATCTCCAGAAGGTGTACTTTTGAATTTACTTATCTATAACCTGCCTTTGTATGTAGTGGGATTTGAATCCTTTTACCTAAAAAATACCTGTTTAAATTGTACATAAATTGATAATGAGACAAATGTATTGCTACCTGATCCTTGTTTGGAAGTCTAGTACATTCAATTTCTTATGCATAGAATAATTACCAGATTGGCAGTAATTGGTACTCTTGGGCAGACTCAAAACAAAGAATAAACATTAAGTTGGCATGGAAACAGAACTTTCTGAGCCTTATTCTCTTTCCTCCAAAGTACTGTGACTTATTCATTAGCCATAGCGCTTTGTTCATTCTTGCATGAATAACACTGAGTGAGCCTCCAATGCAGCTGCCCTGTGTATACCTGTCCTGTGAACAAAAGACAACATTGGTCTCCGTTGCTCAGCTCAATGTGTTTTATTATAACCGAATTCACTCAAAATTATAGAAACGTATATGTGTTCTGTTTTGATCTTCTTGTTGAACTTCTTTGGCAGTTTTCCTGAATCAAAGGCTTGTCAGACAAGCCAGATTTCAAACAAAAATGCCTTCATGAACTTTGGATTTCATTTTGTAACACAAATTGGACTTCAATAAAATACAGTTTTTACAAAGTAGTTACTTTAAAAGTTACATAATTTTAATACATCATAAACCGGAACTAGTTGTATTTTCCCCCAGTTATTTCTGTCTCTTCACTGTGGTCTCAGCTGTGATGTAAGTATACATACGCTAAGGAAATCTGAGCAAAAGGAATAACTAAAGCAATCAGTGCCTGTTCACATTATCAGCTCTAGATGCTAAGCTGTTCTAAATAAGTTACTGGTGTATTTGATACTTTTGACATTTAAATAAAAAATGCAGCTTGGAAATTCCCCATGTACTTAATTTGTTAAAGTCCTTATGAATTTCATTATACTGACCTTCCAAAATGCAAAATTAAGTTAACAAACTTCAGAGTTTTATGGCAGCAGTATTTCAGCAAATCTTTTATGATGTGTTTTTGTTTTCCTTTTTCAGACAATCAAGGGTAAATTAATTGTAGGACATTGAGACCAGTCTTCTCTGCTTAATACAGTCACTTGAGGGCACATGTAGTACTTTATCTGACTGCTTTTGTATTCCTTAGACCTTTTAAAGAAGTCCGCCAACTTAAGAGAGCATTTAGTAGCCTAACTCTGTAGGTCCTATGTTTCTTTTCTTTGCATTTTTCATGGCAATGTGTGATTGTGAGAGGGGACACATTGGGACAGGGAGATACGGTGACAGGAGCCTGCTGCACTTCATCTACTGTCATGTCATGGTTTGGGCGGGACTGGCCACTGAAACAAATGACAGATGCTCTTCCCCACCTGAAGGGAGAGGAAGAAGAGAGAGCAAGAGACGTAAGAGTTTAAAAGAAAACTAAACTACTTTAATGAAAATATTAATAAAATAATAAAAAGAAAATAATGAAATATATACAATATATCCAAAACCAGTATCAGGCTCCCAGGATGATGATCACGCCACTGCCAGGCATGAGGAAAGTCCCAGACTGGACTCAGTGACGGACGGGAACTGGATTCCAGATCTGGATTCGGGAATGCAGATGAACAGACAGAGTCCTCCCTGGACACTGGCCATTGAAGAAAGAGAGCTGATCCTTTGATCCCTCAGGTTTTATACTGAGCATGAGGCAGATGGGATGGAATACCCTGTTGGTCAGTTTCGGGTCACCTGTCCTGTCTGTTCTTCCCCACAGGTGGGACCCTTCTACGCTTTTCTTCTTCCGACCCTCCAACATGGCAAATAGCAAGGTTAGCTGCCCTTGGGTGTTATAGCAATAAGTATAAGCAAGAGCCTCTCTGCATACCATGCCTTAGCATCAACTATAAATGTAGGTCATATAGCTCTGGAAGCGGATACTCTCTGAAAAATATGGTGTTAATTTCAGAGAGTTCAGTTAGTTAGAAGAGGCTTAGCTGAAAAGTAAGATTACTGGAAAGAAAATTGGTTCTGTTTTACCTCAAACGAGGACACCACACCTGGATAGTATATAGTCCCTTGTGGCCAGTAGCCAGCTGACACATGTTTGAGCAGCCCCTGAGTCTTGGGCTATTGCTACAGTTGGCTCTGGACAGTCTGGGACAGCCATCTGGAAAAGGCGAGTCATTGTTTTCAAGGTGTGTGAGTAGGCTCAGACACAGCCCATCTGGTTGCCATGCAGCAGGCTACCCAGCAGCACTTTTTCTTTCCTTCCTCTGCTCTGCTGCAAGCAACCAGGGGGAAGCTGTTGAACATTTGGAGTTGCAAAGGGGAAGCAGCTGCTGAGAGCTCCAAGTTCCCAGAAGAGCTTCTCTCTGGGCTGCAGCAGGGGGGCAGATGGAGAGCTGAAGCCATATTCTCTTCCCTAGTGAATGAGATGATTCAGACATTTCAATTAAAAAATTGCAGGACATTGCCAGGGAACACATTTTTGATCTGTAACAGGACATATTTTCTTTATTTTTAACACATTAATTCTTGAATATTGTAACTTAGAACCTCAGGGACCACAGAAATTACTGTAAATTCATGTCAGGACATGTACAGGACAGAAATGTATGGATCTCCAAGGACACAACCTGCTTATTTTGTAGCATCAGTACAAAGCACTGTGGTGTTGGAAGCAGAAAAACAAGAAACGCTGAAGAGATCATAAAATGTTGAGAGTCAACAGTGCAGAGAAGGGAATGGTTGATGATGGGAAATGGTGGTACAGGTACAGTTGTACAGGTTAAACTATTTTCTTGTATATGGCACATAAAACTTCTAATTTTATGCAGAACGTATAATGTAAAAGTAATGATTGATGGAGAATAAGCTGTCCTGATGTAAGGTAATTAGTCACTACAGTACAATGAGACTCACAGTCCCTTTGCTCTGGGATTAGTTAACTCAACACAGTGCTTGCCACTAATGTGCATTCTTGTAGACAAAATGCATTTATTTTATAAACTGGATAAACAACCAGCTGACAACCATCTATTTTTTAGCAAAATGAACAGTTTTCATATGTCTCCTCAAAAACTTCTTTCATCATGCTGTTGTTCAACTGATTTTTCCAAATGTCTGACTTACAGTTTTCAAGTAGTCTTTCTCTGTATATATTTTATGGTTTATTTTCATGACGCACTGTGTGTCGTATTGCTCGATTTCTAGTGTTACTTCAAGATGAATTATAGTTTTAATGAAGTATTTACAATAACACATGCTACATATTCTTGAAGCTTTAATTCTGCTCTGTTTCTGGCAAAATGAGTTTGGAAGAGGGACAAAGTATCATAATTGAAGAGACTGTATTGTAATTCTTCAGAGAACAGCATGGTTTCTTTGATGCTGACATGGTTGTTTCAGTATAATAAATGAGAGTCCCTCTTGACTGTGCAATGTTTGACTTAAGTGGAAATGCTTTTCCCAAATTTATAAACTTATTTGGACCAATCAGGGCAGATTAATTTTACTTGGTCTAGGTGTCTCCATATTAGCCTGTCAATGTAGGCTATCATCATAAACCTTTGCAGAGAAACAGCATTTCTACAGCATGGTCCATCCCTTCCTAAGGTAGACAGGTAGAGGGCAGAGATAATTGCACTATACAGGTGCCTGTTCCTTTATGTTAATTCTAAAAGGAGTTTGAGGTGACCATCTCAAAGGCACATCTCTAAAGTTGGGTGACATGAAGTGAAAACAGTTGAAAATTTTGATGATATTGTTTAACACTAAGAGAAAACTGACCTACTTTCCCTATGCAGCTTGATCTCATTTTGATCCTTAGTTGTGTATGCTTTTGGTGCTGGGATAGTTCAGAATTCATGTGTAAGCATTAATTTTACAGGCTATGTGGTAGGGAGCCTGAAGGTCTAAGAAAGTGGAGTCCTGTACTTTGAAGGAGGAGGAGACATTTTAAAAACTTACTTTAAATGTACAAATATGTTGTGATATTTTTCAGGGTGGAGATCTAGACTTTAAAATTCAAGAGTACAAAGAATCTGGGAAGATATTCACTCAAAGACAAATAATAGACTGGTTTATACAGTTGTTACTCGGAGTCAACTATATGCATGAAAGGTACAGTCATTTAATACGAGAGCCTTTAGCTTGGGATGGGAGCGACTGGACTCACTGGCTAGTTGCAGATATTCAAACAGAAATGAAACCGTATGAATTGTCGTGTATTGGTATAAAGCCTTGTTCACCAAAATGCTGTAGTATATGTTGTATACCTAAAGTGTAATCATTTATCTATCCTGCAAGAACATTTTGTATTACATCTGTTAGCAGTGCAGTGGTAGATGTCTTTCAGCATTAGATACACTTTTTCTAAGAGCCAAGTGAAAAATTTAGCACAACAGAAATAGTTCAATATTGTTAGAAGAAAGAGGATTAAAAGTTTAAAACACAGTCAGCTTTTTCAAGGGGACTCAACAAGGATCTCTCGCAGATATTTAATGTGAAAAATCCAATGTATATGCTTGGTGTACTCATGCTAAAATCAGTGGAGTTACATACATAAGTTCTTTGAAAACAGACATTACTTTTAACAGCACATCAAAGATTAACCTAAAAAATTACTGCAGGTCATCCAGACAGTGATATGTGGAGATCGCACCTGGTTTGAGCAGGGGTAGATGTAGGTGAATACCTACCTGGTCATCTCCATGGGTGTAGTTCTTGCCTGCAATGTGATTTAGGCAGGCTGACTTTGGTGATTTAAACAGTTCCCTCACCACCAGTGTACTGGACATGTGCATGACCTGTCTGGTCCCCTTCCTGCGTCATCGAGTGCTGTCACCTTTGAGGTAGGTGGGACTATTTAGCATGGTATGAGGGAGACCAAGTGCTGTGCTGAGCCAGGAGCAGAAGTCCCAACACGCTGCCACCTGCATTGAGATCTGGAGGAATAATCAAGCAAATGGGAATACCAGGCTCCTTTCCTAGCAGCTTTTCAGAAACTGTGAGCCAGTCAAAGTTAACCCAACTTTCCATCTTCTCCTTTCCTCTGTTTCCTCCCTGTTGCATTTGCCTACTGGCAGGTCTAAAATGCCACGTTAATGAACAAGACAGAGAATCCTTTCTAAAGAGCATTGTAGCCCAAAAGTCCAAGATTTTTCATCCTGCCAACCTCAACTATTTGGACTACTACTCCTATTGAGCCTCTAGAAACAAGAATATCATTGCTGCAAGGACTGTTTTAGCAGAGGCTAAGGATGTTTGTCTGTAATCACCTGCATGTTTTGGGGAGATGAGCTAATCTGCCTAAAATAATGGCCTAAATTATTAATACAGCCAGGGAGGAAGAACATGCTTATGTTTGGAGAGTAGGTTACACCCAGAATCTGGAAATGAAAATTGAGTTTTTTTCAAGCTGAATGTAAACTAGAGTCCTGCGTGAATACTCAGAAGACAAGATTATTATGCACTGGGTTGAAGGTGAAAACACCAAACTGATGTAGCTGTTTCAAATATCTTTCACAGCAGGGCTTGGGCCAAATTTGGTTACTTGAACTTGAGTTGCAACAGAGCAGTAGGTGGAGATAATCACATATCACTAAGAACAACCATTTCTGAGTTAAACTGAAGTAAAGTAGGTGGGACATATTTGACCTAAAGTAATAGATGCCTAATGAGTTTTTGCACCTACAGTGCCAGACTCTGGAGGGGAAAGGGCAGAGTGAATTGCTGTCCAGGATGCAAGAGCATTTTGGTTCCTAAATGCCAATTTATCTGGGGCTTGTACATAAAGTCCCACCCCCACAGACTGCAGTGATGGGAGCACAGGGAAGAGAGCTCTCTTGGGATGCTTTGTTCCTCAGCATTCACCTCAGGCGGAAAAGACAGATGGAAATAAAAATCCTGACCATTTAACTAAACTAGCAGTATGGGTTTGTTTTGTTTTTTGTTCTTTTTCCTTCTCAAACTCCAATTTAAGAATTTATCATTAAAAGTTTTGGTAATCTGGAAAGTCCACTTTTGGTGAAATCTTTTCTTCAGTATATGTGTTTAGAGGATGCATTGTGCAGACTAATGCAGAATAACAATAACATTGCAGTTGGACTAGATGATCATTGTAGGTCCCTTCCCACTGAACTATTCTATTGTATAAGTTATTCTTTTTATTTTTCATTTTCTATGTTTTCTCTTGCCTCTTTAATCTCCTCTTTTCCTGCATGTCCCTTTTGTCTACTCTTCTTTTCTCTCTAGTTTTCTCATCTTCTACTTGTTCTCAAACAAATCCTTAAAAAAAAAATCTTATAAATAAACTTTCTTTGGTAAATATGTATATTAAATTACTGGGATTGCTGAAAAGTACAGTTTGATTCTTCAGTGAAAGCAGCAGTTTGATTTTCCAAACAGCATTTCATTTTCTCTCTTTGAATCATAGCTATTTAATAGCACCTCTCCAGACACATACAAATGACTTCACAGTTTTATTTTTGTTTGCATTTCCTGTATTGTATTATGTATTGTGTTATTTGTCTGTATGTGCATTAGAAAATCTTTATCTTGTTAGTTTAGAGCCAGACAATAGCTTAAATGGAAAAGGTTAGGATTAAAAGAACTTAACACTACCTACAGAAGGTTATTTGATTTACTGAAACATGATAAGAACTCCCTGTTTAGGTATAGAGAAGTCGTACATGATTTCTTCTCTACTGATATGGAAAAAAGCTGTAATATATGTTTGAACTACGTTCTAATGCAAAGAAAACTTTGCCCTAGAATGAAAAGCTTGGTGGTCATTACCTGTGGGTTGGACATCCTCGTGCCATTCCTTAGAAAATCCAGCTGCTGTGGATGGGATTTTTTTATTCCAGAGCAGCAAAATTTATTATTTCTGGTTTTAGACATAGACTACTCACCTAGTTGTCCTTCTTGCACAGCTTTAGTTGAACTTCTGCACTTTTTGAAAATTCTTATGCTGGAAACTTTTTTTAAAACAGGACTTTTTCACTGCCTCAGATTGTTTTTCTTTTCCTATAGTAATAAAGATTATACAGGTTAGACATTCCTGTCTTTTACTTATGCTTTGTAAATCCCAAAGAGGGCATGAATAGCTTGTGGTCATTATGCTATGTTCTGGCTATTTTGCATAATCGGAAGGATTTTTTTATTTTAAACTTGAAAGCTAAATTATCTAGAATTAAATAGATTCAGTCCTCATCTGTCATTGATATAACCAGTGAGAGAAGTAAAGGAGAGGCAACATAGTTCAGTGGTCTTATCTAGATAGAGACAGTTAGCATGAAACCATCATCTAGTCTCTCTGGCATATTTGTAGCCCATCGCACATCAGTGCACAAAATTGATCCCACAGCAATCAGGTGATGAGGCCATTGATTCATTTAACCTCAATTTGAATGAAGATGACCATTATGTTATCCATCACTTTGCTAATCTTTATGAATAATGTGCCAACACAGAGATTTTTATAAGGATACCATTTACGCAAACAGATCTGCTGGTTTCAATCTACAGGCTAGCAGGCTTTGCCCAAGTACTTTATCTGGATTTCACGTTGTCTTCCCTAGTACAGGATTCAGACTTACCCGGAGCATCCTACTTCTCTTAATAGTTCTTCAGACAGACAAAAGAGAAATTAATTGCTGAATATTTCACAGCAGTAATCTACTTCAGCTTCAGTCAGCTTTGTTTGCTGGTATGTTGCAGAGGAAGCTTTATTCAAGCCCACTGCTCAGTGCTTTGTGCTGTTTTTTTATGACGATGAGACAGCAAGCAGGTACTCTATAGAACATATGTATGGGTCTATTTATTGCCCAAATTTGAAACTGTCCTTAGGTGTTAATTTCTACCCAAAATACCAATAACCACTTTGCTGACTGTCAAGTTAGATTAAGTTTTGCTGGAGTCCAGTTAATTCATGTTACCTTTATAGGTCTGTCTCTTGCTAGAACAAAAAGTCACGCTCTTTCTTAGACTAGATTTACAGTGCAGGCTCAATATTTATTTCTTACAAGAATTAAAGTAGCTGTTTTTGTTAAGGTTTCAGCTTGTAACTTTTATCTTCTGACATATCCTAGCAGAATAAAGTGGCTGGCATCGAGAGACATCATCATGAGAATTCCAGAGAATCATCCAAAATATTTCTTAGTCATATTAACATATAAAAGAATCTTATAATTATTGGTAAGGGAAATAATTTGCATAACATTTTCATCAATATGTTGCAAGTTTATATAAGCATTACATTTTAATTCAAACTAATGTGACCCAAATATCTTTTCTCTACCACCTTTTCAAATAATATGCTACTGAAAGCTTTCTGGGCATTTATAAATCAAGACACCTGCTATTCAAATCACAGATATCCAGGGAACTTTTAGGTTCAAAGAGTCTGTGGTTATATTTCTGTAAAGTAATTAAAAAAAAAGGAAGGTTAAAACCCACCAACACTCAAAAATAGTATGCAAGAAAAATCTAACTCAGTGAAGTCAAATTCTTGCAAAGACTTTGTGCGGTGAATGGAAAGGAAAGGCTATGAATCTAAATTAAAAGAGCAAAATTTATATAAAACTATGTGTATATGTAGGATTATGAAATAATAATGAATATCACCTTAGCTTAATTTCCTTACTGATGTAATGTATGATGAGTGTACATGTATTGATCAAAAAAGTTGCCAAATAGAGAACAAATTATTTATAGACATCAGTGAAGGCATACTGAATAAAACTTTAATTTTTCCTAATGTGCAAACCTTTCTTTCAGGACAAAACCAGGAAAGATTGCCATAAGAAGAATAAAGAACTCTTTTCTTTATGTCCTATAAAAATAGAAAAGTTTCCTTTTCATGCTCAGTCTACATGCATACTAAACCAGCTAGTGGTTATTCACATTTTTTCCCATTTGTGAATTAAGCATATTTAATTTAATTTAATAATTTTTTTCTCTTCTTGCAAAAATTATTTTCAAATGAGCTGTGGACTAAATTGCTTATTTAAATTGTACTGTAGAATATGTACTTTCTAGTCCTAATATGGAAACTATTTTGGAAAATACTTTCAGTATCTCAGTGCATAAGACTTGAATTTTGATAATGAATTTTGAGATAACACTTGAGGATTGCTCAACAACAATTGGAATCTGTTACTATATTTCATTTTCTTGCCCATATCTCAAGAGTCTTAGAACCTCTGTTTCTTTCCTAATCTCTTCTGAGTGGCTGAACAACTACAGTGTTTGTATTAGCAAATACAGTTTCTGTAGCCCATATGTACCAAACGCTGTTCTAACCTCCTCCTGAGCAGAGCTGATAACTAATACAGTGTGTTATCAAGCTATAAGAAATTTAAAAGTGAATGACTTCTACTTTAGTTGAGGTTGCAGGGAACCCTTTTGGAAGAGTTATTAGCAACATGTTTTATATACTGTAGAGATATTTTATTTTCCTAAGAGGATGGAGAATTACTGTAACACATTAAGATTTCAAGGAATTGAGAAGATGCTCTTCGTCCCTGTATGGTGTGTAGCTTATGATGATGTTTCAGTCTTTGATGCAAAATAAGTCTGTAAAAGCTAGTTGTTCTTTTTCCTTTCCTTTTGATCTCCCTCTTTGTGAAGTTCTTTTATCTTTCACACCATTACTGTAAAAATTTTAACTACTAGCCTAGTCTATGTACATATTTGTCTTTCAAGTAATACATTTTCTCTGAAGGAGAGTTCCCTGAGCTTTGAGAATCTCCTATTGCTGTTTTTCTCATCTGTTATTCTATTGTGAGACATCTCATTCTTCTGGCAGAAAATAAGACGTAATGCTTTTAAGAAGAACCAGGTAGGAAGACTTGCCTTTCTCCCTTCCTCTGCAGCTCATGTTAAGCCTGTATCTGTATTCTCAAGCTGGGATCCCTGGGTGCATTTTTGTTATCCTGGCTGCTTAAGCTCTTATCTTTCATGTGGGTGTCAATGAATGCACCTCTGTGTTTACGTGAAGCTCCTTAACGCTGTCACCTGTGCATTGTCACTTACAGTGTTAGACTGTAGCAGTGGTGGGCTGGCTTTCCTAACAATGAATAGATATAAATACTTGGGATACTTGATACGTGACTGTGGATGCTTCAAGTTGGATGAGGTTGAATTTCCTTTTATATTCCAGGCAAATACTTCACAGAGATTTGAAAGCCAAGAATATATTTTTGAAAAATAATCTTCTTAAAATTGGTGAGATTTCCATACTTTTTAAAGATGTATTTTAGTATGACAGAACAGTCCAGCAGACATTTTGTCACTAAGGACATTTAAATAAAGTCATGTCTGATACAGCATTTTGATTTGGGGTCAAACATTTATTTGACAGTCAGACACAGGAGTAGGGGCCTGAGAAACAATAAAATCTCCAGCCTTGAGGGTGCTCCAAGCTTGGCTGGACCTGGACCTGAGCAGCCTCATGTGACTCTGAAATTGGCCTTGCTTTGAGCCAGGATTTTGAATCAGATGAACTTGTGAGGCCTCTTCAAACCTACATCATTCTATAGTTTCATGATTTTCTAGTGTTTTTATTTTGCAGCATTACAGAAAAAAAAATAATCCGTATTTTAAAATTCTGGCAGGTTTTTTTTTTGGGGGGGGTGTACAGTCATTGCATCATGTCAAACAAAATTCCAAAGAGTTTGTATGAATAGATACAGGCTTATGGAATTTATATGAGTAGATTATTGTTTCTGCTGTTACTTTTAGGGGACTTTGGAGTTTCTCGTCTTCTGATGGGTTCGTGTGATCTGGCAACTACATTTACTGGGACACCATACTACATGAGTCCAGAGGCACTGAAGCACCAGGGATATAACACAAAATCTGACATTTGGTGAGTAGTCAACATGCTATTTCCATTGGACTAGGCATTTATTTTCTAGGTCACTATTTGACTTTATTTAGGAACTGCTTTTTTAAAAAAAATGGCTCCCTCAATAGGGTGCTTGCACTTCTCCACTTAAATCATTCCAGGACATTTGAGTCATATGTTACAATTGGAAGGCTTACTCTTTGTTTTAAGAAGCATGTAGTTTACTCTTATTCTGGGCTATCTGGGACTTCAAAGTAGAGTAAGATTCAGGTCCAGTCTCTGCCATGACACAGGATGATTGTAGACAAAGTTCAAATTTTGCTAGGAAGGGGGAAATCTTTTTCTTTCTCATATTGAGAAAGATGAAGGGAAAGAAGCAACTTTCTGTGAAACTTCCAAGTGGATGAGGAAAGAGAGATTCCTGACTGAGAGGGAAGCAGAAGGACCTTCTTAGCAACTGAATTGAAAAACATTGGCAAATACAAAAGGAAAGAAGGTACTTGGAAGGGGAGCTGAAAATGAGAACAACTGGAGTGTTAGGACAGAGGCAAAAAGGTACTCTGTTTTATGAAAGGCTCAAAGGTAGAAAGAAAAGTGCGAGTTCTACACTTGGCACAAATTCTTGAGATCAAGACTTCTGAGGTGACGATTAAAGAATCAAGTTAAGAACCTGAGACTTTAGGAAACCTTTAGATGTGCAGGTATTCTGGCAAGCTAAGATGAAGAATGATTTTTTGGAATGGGGAAAATATCTGCCTTATTTATATGTGTGTCTTAAAACATCTCATTGTGTTTTAAGATGATGGTTAAAACTATTGTGTTTTTTAAATTCTGTTATAGTATTTTTTTATAAAACATGCTTTGTTTCTTCTGTTAAGAGGTGTTTGTTTCTGTAGGTATGCTAATCTGAAGGTTTCTTTTTTATGAATATTTCAAATCAGGAAATTTCCTTCGTAAAACATTTGACCACTGGAATGTAGTTTGTTTACTTGATAATTTACTCTAACTTCTGCTCAATTCTGCCTTTTCAAAATGTATTTATGACTGCAAGATATAATTCTAAAAGTTGAAAACAGTCACCTGTACTTTCATCTTGTAGCAACCATTTTTCACAGTTAACTTGTTTAATACAGTCAACGGATGTGTCAGGAATCTCATCTCACGGTCTATGTAGCTGAACTGAAATGGATTTGAAGTCAGATTCTCTTGTTCATCTGTATCAAAACAAATATCAGTTAATACATGTAGTCAATAAAAATATATTAAGAGGAGATTTCAAAAGACGTCAAAACAAGTAAACACAGAAGAAAACCTGCCTTTTGTGCTCTACTACTGTAAAGAATAATTTCTTTTACTGCAGTTGAAATAGAATGTAAAATATGTTTAAGTTCTATTTGTTGCTACAAGTGTCAATCCACATGTCATTGAAGTTGTATAGAATAAATGAAAGCAGAATTTTGCCCAGTATATTTATAGATGATGTGTTGATCACCCTTTCTAAATTTACAAAATGGCAGAAATGTCCCTGCACTCCCATCCGCCCCTGCAACAACTCACTAGCTATTACCTTTCTGCTACACCTTATGCATTTTGTAATCTTTCCAAAGCAGTAGCCAGAGCACTCATCCGGGGGTGGAACTGCCTTCAGTAGGAGCTTCTTGGCCCTCACTGTATGGACACTAAGGAGAGGTGTGCCCTGACTCACTAGACCCTTAGCCCCCAAAGAACTTCTCCTTCTGAGCCAAGAAACTCTCTTTTCATCAGGACTTGTCAACTACCATGACTCACACACTTGGTTGATACATTGGTCATTTAAGCTCTTCATTTAATATTTTAATAATGATTCTGTTTGATTTTTGTTTTGCATTTGCCCCATTTAACAGGGGCTGAAACATGAGAGGTCCCTGAGCAACCAGGGGAACCTGCCTTGGAGGCTCCAGGTGAGGTGAAATCCTTCTGCCGCTTTGCAGGAAGTTCAGTTGCTCATAAAGAAGTTGCCCAAGTCTTTTATGAGTGCCTGAAGGGACGTTGTCTCTTCAGGCTTGTCCTTCTGATCTCTAGGAAGACTTAAAATATTGCACACAAAAATTCAGAATAACAAGTGTTCCCATATTAAATGTAAGAAAATATAAAATATCTTCTACAAAATGCAGTTATTGCTATCTCACTATGTTATCAAGGTCCTCTCAGTGTTCAGCCCACTTAATCATTGTTCATTGGGAAGACCTTAATTTGCGCTGTTAATGATGTGCTCTAAAGAGACATTGTGCTTTTCAGGTTCACTGAAATGTTCTGCTACTGGCTCTTCAAAACTGGCTTGAATATTAACAGTGCAGCAGCTGGTACAAGAAGTATTGTCCTTTGTAACCCAAGGTCAATAGATGGGAAAAAGCCTCAAGTTTTACAGTTTTTACATACAGAAGTTCTGTGATTTGGCTAAAAGAAGCTGCAGCATTTATGTTTGTTCTCAGTTAAAATTTCAGGGCTGGAGTTCTTTGCTATTCCATGCCTTATGCCGAATCTTAATTCACAGGAGGCAAATTAAAATTGCCATCCATGTTTTCCTTACCAACACTGAGCCTGGACTGACTAGGCAATAAGTGAAAGCCTTTGGAGATGACACAGTCTAGGGCTTCCTCCTTTCTGGGAGAGGAGCTTCCTCGGGGAGGTGGTTGCAGTTCAGGAGTTCACCAACCTCCCTGCCTGTTGATGCTTCCCCTAACGAGCCGGCAGAGGAGAAGAGTCACTGCAGCGCCGGCAGTGAGCTGAGACAGTGACTAGTTCAAGAGGCCATGACGAGTGGAGGACTAGCAAGTGATGTGTGTGCAGACATTTGGCAGTTGGGGCTCACTTTTACGTAATCACAGTGTGACCCAGAGGCACTGCTGTGCCAGGGCCCTGGTGACCCTTCCTGGCCTCATGTACCGCGTGGTGGGACCGGTGCTTGTGCTGGGGTTTGGCTGGCATTCCCCTACCACCTGCACAATGGCATTGCATTCATGTGTCAGGCAAAGTGAAGGCTGTATGTGTCACTTTAAGGCATTTCTTGTGGTCAGGAAAGGTGAAGTCATATGGTGGTCCCTGGTGGTGTGAGGGACCAAAGTTAGGGTTTCTGGTCTGAATCAGACAGAGCAGAGACCTTGGTCTGAACCACTGGTAACCAGGAGGAGCAGCTGGGTTATTTTCAAGCCCTTCCAGTTAGAAGTTTCATCAAACCTCTGTGTCTGACAAAGCCACCAGACTTCTTGTTTGACCTAAGTTCATGCTCCAGTGACACACACTTTCTCTGGAAAATGCCTGACCATGTCTGTACTTAAAGGGGCACAACAGGTATGACTCATCCCCTGTGATAGAACCACAACAGCTAGGTGTGTATATTAGAGCCTTTGGCCTTAGGCTGTTTTAGCTTATTAGTTCTTTTGTTTTACAAGGCATCTGAGGTTTTTATTTTGTTATTTGGGAGGCATTGTTTTTAAATATTATTGATAGGAAATAGTGGGTCAGAATCTACCCAGATTACATCAATGTCATCCCACTAAGACTGTTGAAGAATTGTGGCAGTACAGGTCTCCCAGCACCAACAAATGCAGATAGACCCATCAGCAATGTTATTAAGAAAGCAGTCAGACATCCAGGGGGATTACATTAAAGTCTACCAACAAAGTAAGAATTTTAATCAGCTTTATTTCAATCCATGCAGTGATTACAAATCATCACTCCAGCCCAAGCAGACTTGGGCTTTGTGACATTAGGCTGAGAAGAACTGGCATCCTCTAATTCACAGAACTATTCAAACAAAATGAAAACATTTCTTTCCAGGGAAGAGTAGACTAAAAGCAGGTACTCAGTGCATTCAGGGCAGTTGTGACTACTAACTTATACAGTAGGGGAGCACTAACTTTTTATCTGAGGTTTTCTGAACAACAGGGATACCTTTGTATTTTCGATTATCTTCATGGAACCTAGAAAACCCAGACTTACCAAATAGGTCAATGATAACTCCTGCAAATGGTCCTAAAGCGAAAGAGTAGCTTCCCCAGAGATCTCTCTTGTTCCAGAAAACTGGGGATTCCCTTGGCACAAGGGTTCCCAACCAGTTTAGGTCCTGCTTTCTTCATACTGGGGATTGAGCATCACTCTTGCCCATCCCAGCTGAAATGACCTCCCTGTTCTGCTCCTGAATAATGTTACCAAGATTTGCCTGCCACTATTAGTTAGCCTGTATTGTACCCACAGTATCTTGCAGGTTTTCCAGCTGTGAGAGCTTGGGGTTTCTCAGCTGAGACTCTGAAATCTGTACTGGCTGGGAGTCTGCCAAGGACCAGTATAGGTCCTTGAGTGCAAGTATTGAGTGCCTGCCTGTGCAGTGGCTATTGTAACTATATTGTATTTTTTTTCTGAGTGGATGAGATAAAGTGTATGCAAACAGTTATCAACAATCATATTTCTCTCTTCTTTTAAAAGCTATAAACATATAAGGCAAACTCCATCCAGGAACTTTTCAAAGGATTTGTGCATAGTATATGTTATAAATGATCTCAGAGGTAGAAATGATAACAGAAATAATTTAGTTGAAAAACAAATGCTTTTTTCACTTAGAGACTTGGCAAATTTTTCACAAGAGAGGTATAAATAATGCCCTTTTTGTCTTCCAGAGACAAAGCAATGTTTCAGTCACATTTAAATCCATTGTAGCCTATGTCTTCTATCAAGTACTGTCAGATTTTGATAGATGGTTTGTCTGTAGGGTTTGGGTAAATTGGGCTTCCTACACTGCAGATCTTGCGACTTTCATTTTAATTGTGCTTGCTTGCCTGTGCTTTTCCCCCAATTTGCCTTTCTCTTTAATCTTAACAATCAAAAAATATTCTTGTTTTTAACTGCAAAATTTTATGTAGAATAGTTACCAAAAATAGCAGTAAAAGCAGTGAAGACCTGAAAAGCAGTGGCTGAGAGAGTTGTAATGGTACACGTGTGCATGTACATATTCTTCATAGACTCTGGAATCAGCAAATTTTTAAGACCTTCAGGTACGATCAGACCGAGAGAAATCAGCCACAAAGGGATATGCATTTAGATTTTCCGTCTTTTTGAGCTTAATTTAGAATCATAGAATTGCTGAGGTTGGAAGGGACCTTTAAGATCATCAAGTCCAACCATTAACCTACCCTGACAAAACCTAAACCATGTCCCTAAGTATCACATCTACCCTTTTTTTAAACACCTCCAGGGATGGCGAATCCACCACCTCCCTGGGCAGCCTATTCCAATGTTTAATAACCCTTGCAGTGAAAAAATTTTTCCTAATATCCAATCTAAACCTCACCTGACATAATTGAATCCATTTCCTCTTGTCCTATCACTTTTCACCAGGAAGAAGAGGTCAGCCCCCACCTCTCTACAACGTCCTTTCAGGTAGTTGTAGAGGGTGATGAGATCCCCTCTCAGCCTCCTCTTCTCCAGGCTAAACAACCCCAGTTCCTTCAGTCGTTCCTTATAAGACTTGTCCTCCAGACCCCTCACCAGCTTCGTAGCCCTTCTCTGGACACACTCCAACACCTCAATGTCCTTCTTGTAGTGAGGGGCCCAAAACTGAACACAGTACTCGAGGTGGGACCTCACCAGTGCCGAGTACAGGGGGATGATCACTTCCCCAGTCCTGCTCACCACACTATTCCTGATACAGGTCCTTTTCTGCTGGGCAGCTTTCCAGCCACTCTTCCCCAATCCTGTAGCACTGCATGGGGTTGTTGTGACCCAAGTGCAGGACCCGGCACTTGGCCTCGTTGAACCTCATCCCATTGGCCTTGGCCCATCGGTCCAGCCTGTCCAGATCCCTCTGCAGAGCCTCAAGCAGATCAACTCACCTGCTTAGCTTAGTGTCATCTGCAAACTTACTGAGGGTGCATTCGATCCCCTCATCCAGATCATTGATAAAGATATTAAAGAGAACTGGCCCCAGGACCGAGCCCTGGGGGACACCACTTGTGACTGGACACCAACTGGATTTAACTCCATTCACCACCACTCTCTGGGCACAGCCATCCAGCCAGTTTTTTCCCCAGCCGAAGACTACACCTGTCCAGGCCATGAGCAGCCAGTTTCTCCAGGAGAATGCTGAAAGCTAACCTGAATCTTACAGTCTTTGAAGGACTATAACATAAAAAATATCAAAAAGATGTTAAAAGGACAGCAATGCTTATGTAAACAAATAGCACTAAAAACCTCAGGGTGGTTTCTCCTTAGAAGGGGCAGTGAGAGGTCTGGCTGTTGATATCATTGAGAATACACTTAAACCTGTCCAGACGCTCCATTTTATGATGCTGTTGAACATAAATGGCTTCGGTGTGAAAGGGCCATACATCAGTTTTGCTGAAATGAAGTGCTGTTTAGGAGCTTTGTCAAACCTATTGATGAACACAGGGAGCCGTCAACCCAAATGCGTGGGCTAGATAGCTTAATGGCCTTTTTAGAATTTTATAACACTGGCACTTTTACAAGCTAAGATTATAAAAGCAATTAAATTATATGTTTGGGTCATATGCAGATTGCTTATGGGAATCGGGAAGCCATTTTCTCTGCTGAATATGCTCCTTACAAGATGCTTAGACCAGGACTGTAGAAACACAACTGAGAAATACAGTTTTGAGGCAAAAGCTTGGCACTAACTCCCCCGGGCAATTGCAGATCAGCAGCTGTCCTGGGAAGAAATAGCCTTGCTCTGGGACTTAGGGCAGCATTTCTCAGCTTAGGAGGTATTTACTTCATATCAAAGAATTGTATCCTGCAGTAAAACCTTCATTCTTTTTCCCTCATTTTTCTTTTATTTTTTTCCTTTATTTTTCTTTCATGGGACAGATGGGGTTTTCCCTGGGTAGCCTGTTCACAGCCCCGGCTGCAGCAGAATGCCCTGGGTGTTGTTTTCATCTTCCTCCAAAGCCTCAGGTGTAGTCAAAGTACTAAACTACATGAATAAATGGGCTTCCCTGATGTGGCAAATCCTGTGCTCCTAATGGCTCATTAAGCAATTTCTAGCTGCCAGAATCAAGCAGCCTCCAAAACAGATTGATTTTACAAAAAGCAGTTATAGTACAGTCTGTCAGGTTGAGATTTTCCTTCCTCTTTTCTTCCCTCTGGCTGGTTTCCATTTTTGTTTTATGCTTTCAGATGCCATGTGTGCCGGGTTTTTTTTGTTGTTCTTTTTGTTCTTAAGTATTTTCCCATGTAGTAATTACCTTGTTTCAGAGTTTGAACAGACATCATAAATATATGTCATCATCTGTGTGTTACTGTTTACTGATTTTGGAAGTTTGAAAACTGATTGACAGTTAAGTCTTAAAAAAAATTAGGCAATTATTTATGTAACTCAGCAGTTGGTCTTTATCCAGTTGTTAGCAAACTGTTCTGCTTGTTGTTTTCACATGCTGCTTAAAAAGTGCCAGTGAGCGAGCCCCCTTATTCTCTTTCCTCTTCCTTACTTATATTCTATTTAGAGCCTGGGTTTCAGCTTTAAAAAATTTTGCTCCCGTTCTTTTATTACCAGATGGAGTGAATTGATTCGTCTTCTTTAACCAAAATGAATAATTGAAACTTTATTCATGATTTCCTTTAAAAGATAATATTTAAACCCTCTTCATCAAAGCCATTCACCTATACATACTTCTACTTATTATCACTATGTTTTATTTGCATACTGTTGCTGTAAATTACAAATACTACAATCAAATACTGCATTTGGAGTGAAGTTGCTCTGATATTTAAACTGGTTACTTAGCTGGGTCTAGTCCTGTAGCTGGCTCTCAGCAGCTTTTTCTGTTACCTTGATCAAGTCACGCATCAATGCCTCAGTTCTCCTGACTGCAAACTGGAGGTAATGCTGAGCATCCTTCCAAGCCTGGAAAGCTCATCTCCCCTGTTTTGTAGAAAACATTTGTCAGACAGAACCCAGTTGAAGTGCAAACTGTTATGAACAGTCATTTTATAAATTATTATGAGGGTGTTTATGTTAAAATGTTCAACTTGGTGATCTTTTATGTTCTCCATAAGGACTGGTAATAAAAGCCTGGTAAATAAGGTGATAGTAAATCAGACGCCCCTTTAAATTCATTTGTACTCATCCCAATTTTTAATGATTTAAAACTGACACTTGTTCTCAGCTATGTCTCCAGACCTGCAGTTTTCTTCTTTTCTCCTCCAAATAAAATTTTGAGAAAATTTAGTTTTAGATGTTGCAATATGAGGCTGTCGTGTAAAATTTGATAATTCTTTGAGTCCATACCAATTTTGGAATCTATTTGGAATATGTGTCCAAGAGTGAAATAACACCAGAAGATGCTTCTGTTATTTAAGCTTGAATTTTAGGCTCAGTTTGTTGTCAGAAATTAATTTGCAAAACCGGTTTACACAAACCTGTGTTGAAACACTACTGAACTACTTTGTCAGTCACTAATTAAAGTACTTCACTCCTAACTTAATAACTGCTTAAAAGGTAGTTCACACAATAGGCTTTTCCTTTATTCATATATATAGATATATTTATATATAGAATTTAAGTTTGTGCCTGCACTTGTGGAAATAGAGTGATGATATCTCCTGTTTATAAAGTTATTAGTTATCTGAGTAAACATATTTCAGATGGAAAGGATAGCATGATAATGAAATATCCTATTGCCAGGAGAAAAGGGCATACAATTGTAATTTTACTTACCTTAATGTCACTATGCATGCTACTTTCAAAAATATTGTTTATACTGTTCCTATTATTTTATTCTTCAAGGTCTCTGGGATGCATTTTGTATGAGATGTGCTGTATGAACCATGCATTTACTGGACACAATTTTTTGTCTGTTGTGTTAAAAATTGTAGAAGGCGATACACCTTCTCTTCCTGACAGATATCCAAGCCAACTGAACACTGTGCTGTGCAGGTATGTTATTTTGTTGTTTAGTAGGTTTTTAAGTTAATTTACAAAACTGCTTAATTATGACTTCTGCTTTTTAATATTTCAGCATGTTAAATAAGAATCCTTCATTGAGACCAGCAGCAGCAGAGATTCTGAAAATCCCTTATATTGATGAACAACTAAAGGTATATAAGAAAAAGTGATAGCTGTACACTTACCATTTGAGTATGTATTTTGCAAAAGCGGAGTCCAGGCAGAGACAGTGTGTTGAGAAAACTAATCAGATAGATAGCAGTTCATGGGAACATTAATCCCGGGGACTTTTAGAGTTAAATTACAAATATGACTGAGGTAGTGAGACAGTGAGAAATGAAGCCCTTGTCACTTTACATGCTGTATGTATCCCCTTTAAAATGTCATGAGCAATAAGTGAAATGGGCATTTATGTGTAACAAGTGCAGATAATTTGGGCCTGGGTACATATAATCTTGAAACTGTTCTGGTTAATCAGTTTTAATGAAAAGCAGTGCATCTTGCTCTTTTGGTCCCTGCTTCAGTGTATATATTATTTGGCTTTCTAAGAAGGTGGGGAAGGAAACTGCTCAGCTAGTTTTTACATTAGGACTGTATTGGCTCATAGCTGAAGAGTCTGGATCACTTTAGCCTCAAGTGTTGATACCAGCCCTATTTTATTTCCTTGCAGAATGTACAGTCCAAGTTCATAAACATGACTGTGAAAGACAAGGCACCTGACTGGCAGAAAGAAGCTGCTCCCCTTTTTGATGCTGTGTAAGTATTTTTAAGTGTTTTATGGGCAGCAGTATATGAAATTACTCTGTTGCCGAATAATATCGTGTTGAAAACATTAGTGTTAACCTCATAGTGCTTTATATTTAGAGGGACCCATTCCCCAGAAATACAGAAGAGCAACCACATTAGTGAGATACGTAATTAAAATTTAGGGGGAAAAAAAAAAGGATTTACAGATCAAATATTTTTATTATCTGTGTAAATTGTGCGTGCATGTGTAGTATACGCATATGTTAATTTAGTACCAATTAGTATGTAAATTATGACCTTTGTCTTTACATTTTGAAGGTTTAGATCATCGTTTTAATTATATTGCAATCTTTTATAGTGCTGTTTTTTGTGTACCTACTAATTACTGAATGTGAAAGCTATGCTTCCAAAGTGACACCAAACTAAAAGCATATACACTTAAACTAATATTCAGCTAATACTTCTGTAGGATACTGTTATATCTGTCTTGTAACTATAGTGAGAAATTAAGGCTAGCAATGTTTCTTGGCTGTTACATCAGTAGTGCCTTCACGTGTGATCTCTCATTTAGGCACTGAATATATATTAAATTAATTAATTGCATTAAATTACAGCACTGCAATGATTAAAGCAACTATCAACACAGGCAATTTCATTTCACCTTTGTAAATTAGCTCTGCAGTTTTGATGGCAGCTGGCCCTCCCCTTTGCTCCCTGTCCCTGGGTTTACTGTAAGTGGTTTTGCTCTGTCAGGAGCCAGCACACTCAAAATCGGGAGCTTGTGATCCTGTGTGGATGCAATGGACATCCCTGCTTTCTGTTTCCTCCAGATAACTGACAAGGCTTTAACAGCTATCTGAAATTTCTTTCAAATTGTGGAGTAACAGCAATAAAGAAGTCCATGCTCCAATCCATAATTAGCAATGCCTTTGGGGCAATAGGCCTTTCCCCCTTGTTCTTTGTGACCTCTGCTCTTGGGTAAGACCGACAGTTTTGCAGCTGTGGTCACTTTGCAAATACTGCCAATTCTGCTGCATGCAAACACCTCTTTGGGAAAGGCGACCACCTTCAACTTTTCTAAAAAAGTGTTATTTAGTATCGGTGGTAGGAAGAAAGCAGAGCAAACACAATGGAATTCAACACGGCAAAATCTTCTGTACATCTTTTTTACCCACTTTAACTACTGGGAGTGTATCTGTAAAGCTCTCATCTGCAGAAATTGCAGTTTGGGTTTCCACCCTGTCAATTCTGTTCTTGCTGCCTCTCGTTGACAGATGAGTCTCTGTCTTTTTATCAGACCAAAGTTCTCTGTTTTGGTATAAATAGGTACCTCTAGTATAAATAGGTTGTTGAACTTTGCAAGCATAGATGTAAAATGCAACAATAAATGATACCTGTATTGGCTAGTAACAGCTCCCTAATAAATAATAGCAAATGGACCTGGCTGAGACTACTGTCAAGTTTTTGGCCTACGTGCTTGCTTCTGCTGAAATAACCCTTTGCTGATATACTGGAAATAGAAGAGTCAGACAGGTAGATATGACATAGCCAGGAAATATTAGATCTATCTTTTGTCTGTGGCTGCTGTATTTGAGTTGATTCGATTAACTCTGAGTGGATTTCTGCCTCTTCAAATGAAATATAGTTAACTGCAGAGATGTTCCTCAGAGGTATAGCTTAAATAGTTTTGGGGCACTGAAATCTTGTCCAAATGTTGCCAACTCTATCTGAATTATATTGAGAGCTTAATGTTCATTAAAACATAAAGTATAAGAATGTCCTGGTTCTGGCAGGGATGGGGTTAATTTTCCCAAGGAGCCAGCAGGGGATACAGGTATTCCATGCCATGTGAGCCATGCCCAGGTTTGGTGGGGGGAGCGAGCCGGGGGAGGGGGCAGGAAGTCGCAGCTGGGAGCGGGCTGTGGGGGGTAGGCTCTGGGCGGGGGTATTGTTATTGTTTTCTCTTGCTTTTGCTGTTTTGTTAAACTGCTTTTATCTCAACCCACGAGTTTCTGCCTTATTCCTTCTGATTCTGCCCACGGCTGTGGGAGTTGCGCGAGCGGCCGCGTGGTTCTTTGTTCCCGGCTGGGGCCAAACCACGACAAAAGAATCTTGCAGAAATTTTTAATCTATGCCTTTAATTTGTGGTTACAGGATTTCAGATTACCTATATGCACCAAAAGATCGTAGATGCTTTGAGAAAGCAGTATTTTTACCTGCAAAATATATACCTAGACTTCAAATATCCCCATGCTTCTAGAACAGACTGGTAAACCCACTTTCTAGAATTTGTAACGTACTCTGTGCCATCCCTGATCCGTTGTCATTAGTTTGAATGTATTGAGTCTTATCACCTTCCAAATTGACATCATCTATATTGACAGAGCTAGCATATGGCGAGGACATTCATGTATATCTCAGAATCTGTAACTATTCTTGTTCAAAAGCAAGTCTGAAGTCTCTACGATGAAAAGCAAGTTCTAACTACAAGCATCATGTTCTTATACTTTTGTTAGAAGAAAATAGAAAGTCAGCCTCTTCTGTGCAGAGGTCCTAAAAATTGTGGAGCAATGGATGGCAACTGTTTTTGTTTAAGCATGGAAATTTACCTTGAGGTTCTCAAATTCAGGGCATCAATTTGAGAAAAAAAATCCTAGGAGAAACATCACTGTAAACTACAAATGTGCTGCAGTCTGATTCTTTTTGGCTAAATATTTGGAATACTAATAGTATAATATAAGTCATAATCTTATGACTTTCATTGTATTTATGAGAATATTAGCTGTATTGTTACTGGTAAGCAAAATGCCAAATAATTTCTACATTCCTGGATCTAAAGAAGTAGGTGAAATGAAATAAAAATACCTGAAAAATGGTAGAGAGCAGAAAAGTGGAGGAGAAATAGTTTAAACATAGTGAATTTCCCATAACTCTAGTCTGAGTGAGTGTACAAGGAGCTGCTTGTTATGGTGTTCTCCCCAATCATTGCTAGTTTATATTTATGTGTTGTTTTTTTCTCACCAGGAATTTTTTTCCATGTATAGTTGAATTTAGTTTCTTCTAGTAAAGACTTCTAATGGGTTACTTTATTCTAGTCCTGTGCAAGTCATAAATTTTAAATATTTAAGTAAGCATGAAGCTGTACAAGTTCAGTTTCGACTTGAATGAAAAATGGCACTTTTTTCCCAAGAGTTCCTTATAATTTAAATTAGAGTTTTTTACAGGGGATGGGAAATATGTCTACATTATTCATACTTGAAGAGTTAGTTCCATTCTTATGAATAATTGAGCTCTTCGTGTCTTTGTCCTAAGTCTTTTATATTTCACACTAATGTTCATATCTACACTATTTCCCTCTATAGTCAACATTTGAAAAGCATAATGAAAACTTCTCGTTTATTAAAATCCTGATTTCAAAATGATAGTACAGAAGGAGTATTGCAATTTATATGGTTACAAAACTGGGCTCTTAGATGATCAGAAGTTAATTTATCTTGTAAGAGCAAAAATAGTAATTTGAAATGAATACTTGGTATCACAAATATAAATAATAGAAAAAGTGATGTAAGTGAAATATGACTGCCAAGGCATTGCAAGCTGTGGTTTAATTTTTGTGATTACTGCAGGATGTGAGATAAAAATCTCAGATTAATATCCTCTTTCTGATATAAGACTAATATTGCTCTCCCATGTTGATAAATACTGCTGAGATACATATGTCAATAATTCATGCTCAGCTTTCAGGGATGGTCTGTGGAGACCATTTTACCAGTGAATTGTTATTATTGATTAGGTCTAGAAATTCAAGAGGGCAACATGATAATTATAACTGTCATTAAAGACACATTAATATTCTCTTTTATTCTAGACAGCTTGTAACAATCAATGTAAAATGTGTGGGTGATACTGCTTTTCTCTGTGGTTCTCAGTTAAAGACTGCCTTTGTACTTGGAATATGCTCAATAATGAAGCCTGATAGGGTAAATATTTCACTGTGCTTCAGCATTTATTCTTTTAAGGAGCTGAGCCTTTTTCAGTTCTCACCTGGGGCGTTGGGCTAGATGATCTCCAGAGGTCCCTTCCAAACCTGACCATTCTGTGATTCTGTGAAATTATTCACGTTCTTCATGAATCTAAGTTTAAATATTTCAATTTAAAAGAGGCATTTGCTTTCCGAACTAAGGTCTAATTAGTCTGTTATAGTACCTGTGACTTTCTAATTATTCCATTTGAAATGTCACTATGTTTCAATATCAAATCAAAATACTGTTATTTACATTTTTATATAAAGATGGGTTTTCATGCATTCAATTTCAGGCAGAGGAAAATTCATTTGCAAACTCTGCAGGAACTCTCTGAAGTACAGAAAATGACACCGCGGGAACGAATGAGGCTGAGGAAGTTAAATGCTGCAGATGAGAAAGCAAAGAAGTTGAAGTAAGTTGAGCATAACATTAGCATGGGGCCCTAACAAAGCAGTTTACCCCGTCCAACAGCCTAATGAGAGAGAACTGTCAAGGTAAGAATAAAAATAGAAAGGGTCTTCAGCTACTCAAAGTGAATGGGGATTTTGGATGAGTTAAATCACAGTAATTATTTATGTAGAAAGAAAAGTCAGAATATTAGCCCAAAACTGGCACTTTGAGCGCTGTGTTTCTGGTTAAATAAGTATACGAGAGGTTTTCAGGTATGTTACAATAGGAGATTTTTTTTTTTTTTTAATGACTTGTCATTTTAAGGATTGTACAGTCTGAGGAGTTGGACATTTAGGTACAATCCAGCTTCTGTCAATCATTTTGGCCTAAGAGATTTGCCAATAGAAATTAATAGCTCAGAGGTTACTCTTACCAAATGATCAAACAGGGGTAATGGACATGTTATAAAGGCTTTATGATTTATCTGTGTTGTTAAGAGGGTGAGACGTAATAAAAGGGGGGATTTGAAGGAGAATAAGTACCATTTCTGAATGGAATATGGGAAACAGCTGGAAGGCTATGCATGGATTCCTTTTTTAAATAAAAAGAATAATATACTGTTTTGATGACACATTAGAGTTTTTCCCAGTTAAAAATATTCAATATTTTATTCGGTATGAATGAAAACTGGAAAAGCAACACATTCATTTTTAATATTTTCTTCGAAAACATTTTGCAAAGCACAGTGTAAATTAACAAATGTTTACTCAGTTATTTATAGAGGATAACAGAGGACATAATTATTTTTGATCATGAGAATCAGCATCTTAACCCTGTCGTGCCAAAGCAAGTTAGCAATTCAGTAAGGCAATGATGTCCTAGTACAGAAAAATATTGCAAGGTGACGTGAAGTCTGAATTTATAGCCTCAGCAACTCTGCAGCTACATACACGTGCAAATCAACAGAAATTGCAGTTGAGTGAAAATGCTCAGTAAAATCACATCCTAACATTAGGAGACAAAAGGAAAACTAGGGAAAATGTGGGCCCGCTGTTGAATGAGACAGGTGCCGTGGTGACAGATGATGCAGAGAAGGCGGAGTTGCTAAATGCTTTCTTTGCTTCTGTCTTGTGTCTTGCTTGTGTCCCTCAGGGGTCAGTACTGGGCCCAGTTTTGTTCAACATATTCATCAATGATCTGGATGAAGGGATAGAGTGTACCATCAGCAAGTTTGCTGATGACACAAAACTGGGAGGAGTGGCTGACACACCAGAAGGCTGTGCTGCCTTACAGTGTGACCTCGCCAGGCTGGAGAGTTGGGCAGAAAGAAACCTTATGAAGTTCAACAAGGGTAAGTGTAGGGTACTGCACTTGGGGAGGAATAACCCCATGCACCAGTACAGGTTGGGGGCTGACCTCCTGGAGAGCAGCTCTGTGGAGAGGGACCTGGGAGTCCTGGTGGACAACAGGATGACCATGAGCCAGCAATGTGCCCTGGCGGCCAAGAAGGCGAATGGCATCCTGGGATGCATCAAGAAGAGTGTGGCCAGCAGGTCGAGGGAGGTCATCCTCCCCCTCTACTCTGCCCTGGTGAGGCTGCATCTGGAGTACTGTGTCCAGTTCTGGGCTCCCCAGTTCAAGAAAGACAGGGAACTGCTGGAGAGGGTCCAGCAAAGGGCAACAAAGATGATTAGGGGACTGGAGCACCTTTCTTATGAGGAAAGGCTGAGGGACTTGGGTCTCTTTAGTCTAGAGAAAAGAAGATTGAGGGGGGATCTTATTAATACATACAAATACTTAATGGGAGGATGCCAGGGGGATGGGAGTAGTCTTTTTTCAGTGGCGCCCAGTGATAGGACGAGGGGTAATGGGCATAAACTTGAACATAGGAAGTTCCATCTTAACATGAGAAGGAACTTCTTTACTTTGAGGGTAGTGGAGCACTGGAACAGGCTGCCCAGAGAGGTGGTGGAGTCTCCCACTCTGGAGACATTCAAAACCCGCCTGGACGCTGTCCTGTGTAACGTGCTGTAGGTGACCCTGCTCTGGCAGGAGGGTTGGACTAGATGATCTCCAGAGGTCCCTTCCAACCCTAACAATTCTGTGAATTCTGTGAATGTGTGCTCGCAGCTGAGAAGGCCAACCATATCCTTGGCTGCATCAGAGGAAGCGTGGCCAGCAGGTCAAAGGAAGCGATTCTGCCCCTCTACTCAGCTCTCGTGAGACCCCACCTGGAGTACCGTGTCCAGCTCTGGAGTCCCCAACATAAGAAGAACATGGAGCATGTCCAGGAGAGCCACGAGGACGATCCGAGGGCTGGAGCACCTCTCCTATGAAGAAAGGCTGAGAGAGTTGGGGTTGTTCATCCTGGAGAAGAGAAGGCTCCAGGGAGACCTTATAGCAGCCTTCCTGCCTGAGGACTGGAGGATAGCCAATGTCACTCCAGTCTTCAAAAAGGGCAGGAAGGATGACCCGGGAAACTACAGGCCGGTCAGCCTCACCTCCATCCCTGGGAAGATGATGGAGCAGCTTGTTCTGGGAGTCATCTCAAAGCACCTGGATGAAAAGAAGATTATCAGAAGTAGTCAACATGGATTCACCAAGGGGAAGTCATGTCTGACTAATCTGATAGCCTTCTATGACAAAGTAACTAGATGGGTGGATGAGGGGAGGGCAGTGGATGTTGTCTACCTTGACTTTGGCAAGGCTTTCGACACTGTCTCCCACATCATCCTCACAGGAAAGCTTAGGAAGTGTGGCTTAGATGAATGGACAGTGAGGTGGATTGAGAACTGGCTTACAGATAGAGCTCAGAGGGTTGTGGTTAGTGGCGCAGAGTCTAGTTGGAGGTTAGTAACAAGTGGTGTCCCTCAGGGGTCAGTACTGGGCCCAGTTTTGTTCAACATATTCATCAATGATCTGGATGAAGGGATAGAGTGTACCATCAGCAAGTTTGCTGATGACACAAAACTGGGAGGAGTGGCTGACACGCCAGAAGGCTGTGCTGCCTTACAGCGTGACCTCGCCAGGCTGGAGAGTTGGGCAGAAAGAAACCTTATGAAGTTCAACAAGGGTAAGTGTAGGGTGTTGCATCTGGGGAGGAATAACCCCATGCACCAGTACAGGTTGGGGGCTGACCTCCTGGAGAGCAGCTCTGTGGAGAGGGACCTGGGAGTCCTGGTGGACAACAGGATGACCATGAGCCAGCAATGTGCCCTGGCAGCCAAGAAGGCGAATGGCATCTTGGGGTGCATCAAGAAGAGTGTGGCCAGCAGGTCGAGGGAGGTCATCCTCCCCCTCTACTCTGCCCTGGTGAGGCCGCATCTGGAGTACTGCATCCAGTTCTGGGCTCCCCAGTTCAAGAAATACAGGGATCTGCTGGAGTGTCCAGCAAAGAGCTACGAAGACGATTAGGGGATTAGAACATCTCTCATATGAGGAAAGGCTGAGGGACTTGGGTCTCTTTAGTCTAGAGAAAAGAAGACTGAGGGGTGATCTTATCAATGCTTACAAATACTTAAAGGGAGGGTGCCAGGGGGATGGGAGCAGTCTTTTTTCAGTGGTGCCCAGTGATAGGACAAGGGGTAACAGGCACAAGCTTGAACATAGGAAGTTCCATCTTAACATGAGGAGGAACTTCTTTACTTTGAGGGTAGTGGAGCACTGGAACAGGCTGCCCAGAGAGGTTGTGGAGTCTCCCACTCTGGAGACATTCAAAACCCTCCTGGACGCTGTCCTGTGCAACCTGTTGTAGGTGACTCTGCTCTGGCAGGGGGGTTGGACTAGATGATCTCCAGAGGTCCCTTCCAACCTTGACCATTCTGTGATTACTTGTGCCAATTTGTGATGCCCATACTCAAAGGCTACAAACAAAAAACTAAAGGCTTTCATCTCCTTTTGGAAAATATATCTGGTCAGAATGTATGTCTGTCTGACACTTACCGTTGCCTTTGATACTGGAGACGGTATGTAAATTTATTCTCATTTTTAAAAAAAATCTTTTTGAATTGAAACCACTATACAAATTTAACACCTCTTCTGCATGGTTTTTTCAATAATATGCTAGGCCAATTTTTGCACTTATATGAAATTTATAAATGGGAAGTCTGACTCATTTTTTTTTAAAATGAATGGAGATTAGGAAATAATACGCATTGCAGGATAGTTCAAGTTTGCTTTTCGTTTTCTTTACTTTCTTGTACTTTAGTGTTTTATATTTAGATTTCAAGTTTTTTTTTTTCCAGCAACAAAATTAAATCTATTTATTTTGTAATATAAAGGCAACATATTAATCTTCAAATCTTGTTCTCAGTCATAAATCTTTAAAATGGATCTATATTTAGATCTGTGTTATTGCCAGCTCACTCTTGTCCAAAGTACTTGGAGCAGTGCAAAACCAGTACCTTCTCAGACTGGAGATATGCTTTCAGCAGTGCAAATCTAGAAATGGCTGGGAAGGGAATATAGTAATGGAAACTGGAAGAGCTGCTTAATGTAGTGTCCTGGTTCTGGCAGGGATGGGGTTAATTTTCCCAAGGAGCCAGCAGGGGATACAAGTATTCCATGCCATGTGACCCATGCCTAGGTTGGCAGGGGGGAGGGGGCAGGAAGTCCAGCTGCGGTGGTCCCGGTGCGGTAGGGGAGCGGCTATGGCAGCATTGTAATAGCGTTCGTATATTCCTTTACTGGTGTTATTGTTATTGTTTTTCTCTTGCTTTTGCTGTTCTGTTAAACTGCTTTTATCTCAACCCACGAGTTTCTGCCTTATTCCTTCTGATTCTGCCCATGGCTGTGGGAGTTGCGGGCTGTGGGAGTTGCGCGAGCGACCGCGTGGTTCTTTGTTCCCGGCTGGGGCCAAACCATGACATGTAGCACCTGGCTTAAGTAGTCTCGTACAGAAGAACACAGTTTCCAAGGCTCCCCCACATGAAGTGTTCGTAGCATGCAAGTGTTGTGTGCCTGTCTTCAGCTGAAAGGTCCCCAGAGTACGTGCTGGAATGAAGTCCAAAGTATTTAAGACCTTTGGAAGAAACATAAATAACTGGGACCAATAATTTTCTGTTTCTCAATTATATTACGCAAGTTGTGAAAGAAAAATATAATAGTGTTTGGAAATGGGGCCTGAAGTTTCTTTGTGAGTTCACTAAAACTAACCTCACTTGAGATGCCATGAACGTTTGGCATCGTAGGAGTCTGATTATGGAATTTCCTTTTGCACATCTATTTCTAGAAAATCCCTTTGTGCAATCCCTGATACCACATCCTAAACACAAGTGTTTTGTATTTACAGGCAGCTGGCAGAAGAAAAATATCAAGAAAATATCAAAAGAATGCAAGAATTCAGGTCCCGTAATTTTCAGCAGCTGAATGTCAATGTCCTACATGTACGTATGGGCTGTTGTTTCAGAGGCCTCCTTTATGTATATTCAGTGTACAACACTTTTCTGTTTCTTACATGCTTTCTATAGCATCAGAGGCACAGTCCTGTTCTAAGACTAGTAATTTAGAAGTGCACCAAAGTTTGGGCTGCTTAGCTGAACCTGTGGCTCTGTCGTGAGTGCATTCAGTTATTCAGATACAGTTCGACAAACTCTCTATTCATTGCACAATTTTCTTTTATTAAGTCACCCTTAAATCTAAATCTGCTCTCCGAAATGTACTTGCTGACATTCTGCATGACATCAGAGTTCAAAATACATTCATTTTCAAGATAAGTTTAGAATTGTAATCCTTTAAACACTCTAATTTGGCATGGCTGTGGGTTCTTTTCATTTGATTATGATTAATCATTTGAATATTAACATTTCAACTGGCTTTTTAGTAAGAATGAAGTCTTGGAATGACTCCCAGTGTAAGCTGTCCTTTGCTTTTAAGCTATCTGCAACAGAAGATAGGCCTGTTCAATTCTAGTGCTATGTCTTATCGTAGAGAGAACAGTGTCAGTTTGGAAACAGTCAGTGAAAGTATCACAGAAATAATGAGGTTTTGGTTAGTGCTTTGTCTTCTACCATTTTTTCCACATGCAGTCTATTTTCTATTTCCCATTGTGTCTGGAGCAAAAAATATGTTAAATCTGTCTCTGCTTATGGCTGAATCGCTACTGATCATTTACAAAAAAAGTTAGGATTTTTTTTTTTTTTAGTGTTTGCCTAATACAAATTCCAGCAGTTGTGTAGATCAGACCTGTTTCTTCATGCTGCTTGCATCGACTAAGGAATCTGACGAGCAGACTTCAAAACCCCCAATTCATTCTCAGCCAGGCGCTACATGCGGCTATGTGTCCATAGGACATGATGAACCAAGTGGAAATGAGACATCAGGTCAGCTCTGCGTGTCTGAACTCACAGACCATGGTAAGAATTCAAAATTTGATATTGAAATGAAACTGCCTACAAACAAAGCAAGATTTGATTTTGTCCCTTGCAGTTAACTTGTGGTGGGGAAACTGGTATAAAAAGCAGTCAGACCTGTAAAGCAGTCAAAAAGTTTACAAAGAGAGAAGGAAAATAATCTATGTGGATGTATGTACAGCAGATGCACAGCAAGGTTACATGGCAGGACGTCTGTGTTCCCAGAGTCTGAGTGACCTGTGAGCAGCGACTGAGGTGAATGCACTTTCTCCAAATTAGATGCTGAGTTAGAAGGAAATAGCTTTAACTTCACACGTATGAAATGACTGGTGTTAGAAAAGCATTTCCTAAATTATCTCTCCAGTGCAAAAATAAGTACAAGAATTCAGAGCATTTGCACCTTTGGTACACTTTGATGCCATTTTCTTTATCTATAACAATGAGAGAAGCAGATGGAAACTCTTTAAACTGTGCTTATCTATACTGTCCTCAAATACTTAGCTACTGTCTAAAGAATATGAAGTACTATATAACATGTATTTTTCTGTAGATAGATAAACAAATAGTCAACCTTTCCAAAACTGTTCAGACTGTGGAAGCGTTGTCCTTAATGAGAAAAATATTTTTAAGAACTCATTCATATGTTTTGTTTCTACAGTGTTCTGGAATAGTGTCATATTCTTAAATATTTAAGAATCATTGTGTAAGCACTATTATGGGGAAAAATTTTTAATCAGATTAGAATCTTGCAAGTATGCATTAATATACTTTTAAGTATGAAAACTACTTTTCTCTAATAGTTCTGCCTGTTAGTGTTGGTTTATGTACATTTGCAAAGCTATAAACCATTAAATTAAAGGCATCAAAACCAGCTTGTTTGTGGTGGAGGTGGGCTTTTTTAATAGCAAATGGCTTTTTTCTTTCAATGTAGCCTCATTTATGTCTACATAGTTGGCTTGCTATTTCACAGTATAAGGAGGGATGATCTGTGTGGGAGAGAACCCAGCTGCTAGAAATACATCCTGGGCGGGGAGGGTAGGGAAGCTTGCAACTAGAGGACCGAGAGAAAGCACTCAATGTGGGTGGGAGATGTACTGGGGGAAGCATACAAAGATACCTAAATAGAAACAGAACAACATCCATGAAAGGAAAGAAACTGATGTTTCTGCCTTTTGAGATCATTGAGCTGTTAAATTATAGAGACAGAAATTAGATGCATTTATATCTGTGATGCAGAAGTTGTGTCAATCTGTTGTACAAAACTGAATGCATGTTTAATTGCTTTTGCCAGGATGTCTGACATTGAAGTGGTGGGTTTATGAGAAAAAGGAGGTATGGATAGGCAAGAGAAATTAGATGGTTTCTCTTCTTCACTTTGTGAATACCTTGTTATTCTTGAAGCTGCTGTCAAAGCTGTTACTTACTCTATTCAGTATTCATACTCTTTTCTTAAAACATTTCAGTGCAATCATGCATGTCCTACACGGCTAATTATTAAGTTATTAATGGCACCTTTGTATTTGAAAATGTAGAAGCAGCTCCAGCTATTGATTTTCAGTAGAATTTTATTCTTGATCAATGGGCTACACATTAGAAAAACAAGAAAGCTAGAAGCAAGGCTGTGAAATGGCTTTATAAAGTTGTCTTACACGTTAATAAACCTTGCTAACCGATACTAAGTTAGCAGAAGAAGTTAGATTAGAAAACCAGACTAACAAGCTCCCTAGTTAGAACTAATAATTAAAAACTGTTGAGGAAAGGGAGAAGAGGCAGGAGAGTGTTTGTGAACACCAAGAAGGCTCAGCAGCAGTCTTTCAATTACTTCAGGGTTGCGCCTAAAAAATCCTCTCAGGAGTGGTAAAAGCTGGTGGGCAACAGCTAGGGATAGTACCCCAATGCCAACAGGTAGGGAGGAAAGTTCAAATTATCTTTGGCTCATATCCTGCACTCCTTAAAAAAAAAATTGCAACGTGAACTGAAGAGCAGGGCTTGGAGGATTGAAAGACCAGGCTTTTAAAGGGTTAGGGAGAGACATAGAAGAAGAAGAAACCTTCTGACACTCAGCTTTCGCTGAAAATTATCTAAAGCATTAAGAAATGCAGTTGTATGTCATTGGGGAAGATGTCAAATAGAAAGCTCAAGGTCTAGCTTTAGTAAGTAGATTTAAAAACCATGGCATCTTGATCCAGTTTTAGCAGTGGTAGTTACACTTACTGAAAGTTGGGAAAAACAAGGCAGTGTAGTTAGATAAACGAAAATCACTATGACAGTTTGGGGTTTGGGACTTCACAGTGGACAAGTTTCAGCAACGTCAAAAACATTTAACTGCTGTAGACTTCCCTGGGAAGTTTAAGCTTCTCTCCATGTTTGTTTTACATAATCAGCAACGATCTTCTGAATCCTTTTTTTTTCTAATTAGCAGCCCTGTGCACTTATGAGACATCTAAAAGAGTTCTCTGAAATCACAGATAGCTGACCAATTTGTTAGTCTTCAAGCAGGTTTTATTTTTTGGAATGTGAAAGAGATCTGAGTGGATCCTGTGCTTCTGATGTTGAGATGAACTCAAACTATTACCGAAAAGGTTCATCCAGAGTGCTCACAGTTGGTACAACTTCTTCAGGAACTTCAAGAAATAATCTGATTCTTATTCTTACAGCGAAATGCTGCAGGCAATGTAAATACTATTTTTTAAAAACCAAATTAAGTTAGTATTTCAACATCATGTTCCTTACCATGCCATCCAGCAATACTGTGCAGATTTATTCTACTATCAAAGAGACTAGGATGCTGCTGAGTCCTGTGGGACTGATTGACAGCGTGGTTTTTAAATATGGCTGTTCAGATGTCACTTGCTAAGCCAGCCCAGGTTGCAGTGGCTGGTGAACCTTGGCATGCTGTTCCCTTTACTCCTCTTCACTTCTGGGATTCCGGGCACATGCTCTGCAGCATCCTCCACACCTCAGCAGAAAATAAAGAACTTGGGGAGAGGGGGGAGACCAACAAAACATGAGCTTTTGCAGACAGAAATCACTTTGAAATTCTTTTGTGCTCCCTTTACTTAAGCTCAAGAAGAAAGGGATCCAATTTTAACCTGGGAGTGGGCAGCAGTGAACAATTATGTGAATAGTAAGTTATACTATTTTTAATTTAATGACCCAAGAGAGGAAGCTGTGCATTAAACACACATATTCCAGATACATTATCTTGGCTCCTGGCGGTTCTCTGATAGAAAGCCCTGTCCTCCAATCCCACCACTTTGCCACCATTTGCTTCTGTTCTATAGAAAAAGTACAAGCGTCAATTTGACCACCACGTCCAGACTGTGGACATCTACCTGCGTGGCCCCTTTCCTAAAGAATTTCACCTGCTTTACACACTCTAGAAAGTTCCCCCTGCTTCTCTGCATAGAAAGCTGTTCCTGGGCCAAAATATTGCAGTGCTTGCGAACCTTCTTATCTCTGGCTTAGATTTATTTCTGGCTGTTTCATGCCAACATCTTTAAGATGCGTTGCCTTATTGCCTTGCAGCTTAAGTAGCTCTTCTTCTTCCTTTGCTTATTCTCCTCATGTTTTTATAGGCAGCAGTAATATCTTTCTGTGTAGTACCTCTGTATAATACTTCTGTATTATTCATATGTTTTAACACTGCTCACTTTTAGCATGCCTGAAACTTCCTTCTTTATTCCTTCCTTAAGATGCTTCCAAGCTGGTATCTCCCAATTTACAATAGTTTTTTTTGGCTGTAATGCTTTAGACTTGTGGTTCTGTTCTTTGAATTTTCTCCATCATTCCAGTTCTCAGGGTCACCCAGCGTACATTGTCATAATATCCTGGTTCTGCTTTGTATTGGTGATGCGCTCCACCTTAGCTTCTGGAAAGCAGTGTTATGCATGCTAATTCGGCAGAGCAGACCTCTCCCTTGGCCGGTTGTGGAGTGCTTCTCTTGGTTGCCCAGTGGCATGTTGCTTTTGCGTCCTTCCCACCCTCCTCATGGTCGGCACTCTTGCAGCGATGGGAAGCGTTTGAAGCGCTGCTCTGCAGACATGGATGAGCTTGCAGGGAAATCAAGTGTCTTTTCCTAAAACATCAGCCTAGGTGGTTAGGAGAACTCATAATCACACAAGCATGGGACATCCACAGTGGCAGCAGCATAAGTAGGCAGGCACACTGGGTTTTTAAGGAGCTTCTCTGTAAATCTTTGGGTTCTGCAACTTTGTCTTTTCAGTTCCTTGATTTAGCTGCGTTTTGCATGCATGCCAGAGCAAAGGATCCTTTTGGTTTGGCTATTACTTTTCTCCACATTGCAGATCTTCAGAGAGTCATGGCAGATGTTCCTTGCAATAGTGAAGGTTTAAAAACATGCTATAAATTTCTATACTATAATAAATTTCTTAACAGTTTTGCATTGTTACTGATACAATCTGGAGTAAAAAAATGTTCCCTTTATTTGTAAAAAGACAAGCAACAGTATTGCTAAGAAAGCTAGAAAAATTGCGTTTATAATTATTATTAACCATATTAAGTAAGTGGCTGAAGTGGTATGTTGAGTGCACCATTAGAATGATACATACTCTTACTGTAAATATAAAACAATGAAAAATGGCTTTACTTGTTTGCAACTATTTTATGTAATAGTTTTAATCTGCATTATATTTTTTAGATTTGTTAATTGGAAACAAAAGAATTTCTATTTTGATAATGAGATATTTATGGAAAGATATTTTATAGTTGTGTTTAATATTCATTGAAAAATGTTTATGTCTCCATCTTATGTGTCCAGGAATTTATGGAATTGTCGTCATACAAATAATTTAAAACTAGGGTGGACAGATCAGTTTGGAATATATTGTACTACTGGGAACAGTTTTGCTTCATGTCTTTTCCATCTCCAGCTTCTCCACATACAAGCAAGAGACAAAAGAACTGAAATAAGTTTCCTATTGAGATTGTGCTCGGAGACTCTGAGCCACTGTCAGTGTTAAATACAAATATTTGTGTGTCAA